GGATTTCAGATTCTGCTCTAGACTGGCTCTCTTCTTATCTCACCAACAGAACATTCACAGTGAAGTTTATGGAATTCTGGTCTATCGCCCACCTGGATCTACTTCATCCTTCCTGTCTGACTTTCAGGATCTCCCATCTTCAACTAAAATTAATGGCTCTGCCAGAAAATATACTAATGTTTTTTGCAAAGTGGGAAAGTAAATATGATTTAAGAGGTGTATGTATGTTTGTTCTACAAAAAGCCAAAAAGGGCATGAAAAGGAGATGTATCTCTGGGAGTAAAATTTTGGAATGAGGCTAAAATAGAATTAAAATTAGAAACTTCTCTTTCAGTTCTTAAAAAACTTATCAGTAAAAATATTTTTGAAGAGTATTAATTTGATGTTGATGGATGGATTTGTGTTTTACTTTTATTTGGGTTGTTGGTTCATTGCGGGATATTGAAAAATTGTTTTGTAATTAGGTTAGGCAATTAAATAAGCTATTGTTTCTGCCTAAACCTATTCAGTCATGAGATACTAAATAGACATCATATACAAATGAAAGCATATATTAGTGAGAAATGTTATTTGTATCTATTTGTATGACATGTTATTGTACATTATCTTAAGATGACTGACTGAATAAATTGATCATTCATTCATTCATTCATTCATTCAAGTCCGAAACCTTCTCTTCAGATACTGCCTCTCTAACATGCGGGGTCCCACAAGGTTCAGTACTAGGGCCTCTACTATTCGCATTCTATATTCTTCCCCTAGCTGGCATCATTCAGTCTTTCCCAGACATCTCCTACCACATCTACGCTGATGATATTCAGCTCTATATGTCCTTCATGCCACACCAGTTGGACAGGCTGGCAACACTTGTACTCTGCCTGACCCAGATCAGTAACTGGCTGTCCAGCAACTTTCTTGTCCTCAATGCTAACAAGACAGAGACCCTGATCGCTGCACCCCCGGAACTTCAACCCAAAAATCGAGCAAGAAATTGCCTCTTTTTGCCCATCAGCCAAGGCCAGCATTAGAAACCTAGGAGTTATTTTTGATCCAGCCTTAAGTTTAGACTCACACGTCAAAACCATCTCCCGCTCTTGTTTCTTTCAACTGAGAAACATTTCAAAAGTCCGTAAACTGGTTTCTACTGCAGATCTGGAAAAAATCATCCATGTCTTTGTGTCATCACGCTTAGACTACTGTAATGCTCTTTTTACTGGTCTCAGCAAGACCTCCCTCTCACGCCTTCAAGCCATCCAAAATGCAGCAGCCAGACTCCTAACCAAATCCAGCAGACGAGCTCACATCACTCCAGTTTTACAGTCCCTCCACTGGCTCCCGGTAGAATATAGAATACAGTTTAAAGTTTTAGTCCTCTTAACAACCAGGCTCCAAGCTACCTATCTGAGCTTTCATCCCCACACATCACCTCTCGGAACCTTAGATCCACATCTGAAAACCTCCTGGCTGTTCCTCGAACCAGACTGAAAACCAAAGGGGACAGGGCCTTTCAGACTATTGCACCCAGACTTTGGAACAGTCCACCTTCAAATCTCCGTCTCTCTAACACTGTAGAGGTCTTTAAAAATCATCTAAAAACTCACCTTTTCATCCAGGCGTTCCCTCCCTAAATGTTTCAAAAAGATGGCTTTGTTCGGGTTCACACCTTCACTTTGTTTATACTCATGATTTAATTTTCTACTTTATCACTGCTATTGTTTTTTGGATGTTTTTATTGGTTAGAGGTATTTGCCCTGATCTTTATCATGTTGTACAGCGCTTTGTGATTTATCTGTTAAAAGGCGTTATATAAATAAACTTTTACTTACTTACTTACTTACTTACTTACTTACTTACTTACTGGAGCTAACCTGTGTACTGCTAACTTGCTACAGAGGAAGAAGCAGAAAGCTGAGCTAACAGGCTGTTTTGCAGGTAAATACTCTTTTAGTGGAACTGCAGGATTTTTATGGTATAACTCAGACAGAATCTACATGAACTATTGTGGGAAGACATGTAAACTACATTTACATACAGATACATGTATTTTTTATTCCATGTTACTTGGACAGGCTAAACAAGTTCATAGTTCTGCCTGCTCCTTTTTCAGTGAAACTAATGGATAATATGATGTAACTATGACTGAATAATTATCTAATTGAGTATGTTTGATAATACATTTCTTACCAGTATACAGATCTGACATTTGTCAGAACAGGACAAATCAGATTCAATGTGCTTTCTGTCACCCTAAATCAGATCCATATCTGATGTTTTTATTACTTAAGTTTGTATGAACAGTACATTTGATACCACTTTTACATATCTGAAGTGAAACCGATGTCACATAAGCGCTTGAGGAAGTGGGGCACTAAATGTAAACAATGGATAAAACAAAATGATATATTTTGTGAGGTACTGGTTAGAGATAGTTGGGAAGCACTGATCTAGGAAATGCACCACAAGCATTTTTATTTTACAAGCTTGTTTGGCATCGAAATAATTAGAACTCTCTTCTTTTTCTGTCACACCTAATACATAAACACACACCAATTTCTATGTCACAGCTGATGCCTTCATCAAATCTAATAAAATCTGTAGTACGGTAACACTGTTACTGAGCACCTTCTTTGAAGTGTTTTATTTAAAGCACTTTTAAGTTTTCTACAGGCTTTGGGTGGATGTAATTTCCATCAGTTTACCTCATTTTTTTATACAAGGTTATTTGGGTGCCGATAAACATTATTTGAACCTGTTTAAAAAACATTTATTTTATTTTATTTTTGTTTATTTAAAAACTCTCTTTTGTGTTTGACCTTTTGTTTTTCATTTTTATATATTAGAAGAAAGATGACTTTTAGGACTGACTTTTTTTTATGATTTTATAAAAATGTAATTAAATGTTATTAGCAGCATTCTGTACGCTCACTTGTGCTCCAGTCCATGTCAGTGGTTTTATTCTATGTTGGTGGTTTTATAAAAAAAAAACATTTATGGGATGTTTTTCACAAGTCCATAAAAATGTTAATAAACAAAATGTTAAATGAATCACCGTATACTGTTTATGAGTGGTCCACACACAATTAAAAAAGAAAGGTAATTTAATTAGTTTATAATCATATTATTTGAGTTTAGGTTGTAATATAATTACATTCTGTTGCATCAAAAAATTAACTACAACTAACACAAAAATGTTAAAATTAAAATATAATTTTTAAGTTTATCTTAATTATTAAAATATAGAATATCATCTGAAATTTTTAAGTTAACGATAAATACAAATTTTGAGCACCACCATACTTAAAATATATGGTTTGTCTACTTAAAACTTTTGTGGAAACTGATTACCTCAAAAAATTTTAAGTTCAGTCAACTTATTCGGGTTTACAGTGTAAAAGAAAAAAAAACAAATAAGAAACTTAAAAAGAAGCACTTATATCACAAAGTAAAAACTATGTTACAAGACTAAACATTTTTCTGCAGCATGACAAATGGCTTTTGCAGTTACATAGGAATTTTTTATAGGAATCAAAGTGGATAAGAACATATGGATGGAATTCATTTATGAAACAGTTCATGTTTGGTTGTTTTTTCCATTTGCTTTTGTGGATGTAATATTTACCCATAATAATAATAATAATAATGTTAATTAACAATGAATATTCCCATTTAATTTAGAATTGTAAATAAGAATATCTTCATTTGTAAAATGATCAAGTTCTCTTATTTTATTTCTTAACCAACAATGGACTTCTTCCCAAAACCTCTTACTGACAGGACAGCTGAAAAATAAGTGTTCTGTTCCTTCAGGGCTTCCCTTACAGAATTCACAAGGGTCAACTTCAAAACCAAATCTCTTCCTCTGTGTCTCTGCTGATAGATAGTAGTTATTAAGAATTTTAAATTGCATTTCTTTTGCTTTGGGCATTATAGGCCATTTTTATAAATTTTAATTGTTTTCCTTCAATTAATGGATTTCCTTTTTTTTTGTTTAATCTTTCTATCATAATCATGATAGATATAATTTTAAAGGCTCCATTTAAAAAATTTATTTTCACATTTTCTTTCTGTGATGTTCAATTCTCCTATTAATATATTAGCAAGTTTTATTTGAACATTAGAGAAGACGATTGTGTTTTTTATCGTTTGTATCAAAGTCACTGGTATAGACTTACATACTTTCTCATATTCCTGAAGAGAACATTGAATGTTATTAAATTTGTATTTAAAATTCTGTAGCTGCAGTATTTCACCATCTTTATCCATAATATCGTGTACAAAGATAATTCCTTGATCAAACCACTGCTGGTTAAACAGACTTTCTGTTTGAAACAATTACTCGATTATTCCACAAGGTGGCACAATGAGGAGTAAAATTATGGGTAAATACCATCTTCCAATAATGCAATACTTGTTTGTGAAATTCAGATAATTTAAAAGGCAATTTAGTGATTTCAAAGTCACATTTCAAAAGAAAGTTTAGCCCCCCCAAACTTCTTGAAGATATTATTTGGAATATGAAACCAAATTGAATCTGTCTTTATTAGAAATTATTTCCACCACTTTGTTTTAAATGTTCCCAGCATTGCTTCAAAATCCACTGATTTCATACCTCCATTTTTATGTTCTTTAACTAACTTCTTTTTTATTTCTCCATATAAATTTATAGATAATAGCGTTAATATTTTTCACTGTTTCTGGAGCGATATAAAGGGATTGACATGGATAGATCAGTTGGGAAATACCCTCAGACTTGGACAATAAATTTCGACCAAAAATAGATCTCTGCTAAGCCATTGGTTCAGAGTTTTTTGTATTTGATCAGTTTTTTCTTTCATATTGATTTCTTCTCTTTGGTTTTCGTCTGCAACTATCTTAACTCCTAGATATTTTATTTCTTTTTTAACAGGAATTGACATGATCTCATTATCTGTGCAGGCGCAGCTCAACTCGAACACGGCCAATGATTATGGGTGATTCACAAGGTGGCGCTAGCACTAACGTTTCACCCGTGACCGACAGCGCTGTTTTCACAGTCGAAGAAGAACTGACGTCACAAACGTCTATCGGCTAAGCGGCTAGCTTTATGCTAGCTTGTAAACACTAATGATTATTGTCAGGATCGTTTATTCGGAATGGGAAAAAGAGATAATCGGGTGGTGAGTTTTCTGAACAAAATAAAGATGCCCACTCTGAATTGTGACAAGCTAACCGAAGGAAGCACTAGTAGCTTAGCATTGGTGTTGGCTAGCACAGGTATTAGGCCGACCTACGGGGGTCAGTGAAATCAGGTATGAAACTGGGTTTAGGTATAAATGAGTTAGTGTTTTGACATGTTGCAGGTTTGCATAACTCGTGGTTTTGCTGCTCAGGTGAAATAACTATGCTAAAGAATGCATGCTAGCACTAGCTCATCGGGTTGTTTTGGCACTGCGATGCCCATCAGGGTTTCCTGCTGGCAGCTTCTAACAAACAGCCGTAATCTGTTTTTATTACATAGTCAGGGTCGTTCTTATGCTACCTAAACAAGTTCAACTCTCCTTCCGTTTTCATTTGACTGCGTTTAAAATAAGTTCAAGAGTTTTTAGATTGTGATGTTTAGGGACTGCTTCAGTCTTTTGTTCTGCATTCTGTTGAGTTTTCGTTTGTAGTGAAATGACTTGTGCTGCATTTGCGTTTCTCATTCGTTCTTTCCATTTTCCCTCAATTTTTATTACGATATTTAAAAAAATAATTTTCTTCTTCTGTGCACGATCCTCATGCTGTTGTGGTTTCAGGCGTACATTAACCCCATTGCGGCTGCTCGAGCCAGGGGCCCAGCACAGGCCTCGGGACCAACCATACAGGACTACCTGAGCAGACCTCGGCCAACATGGTGAGAAGAGGACAGAAGCACTGATAGGTTTATGCTGACTCATGTTGATGTAATTTAATAACGGAAAACCACTTATGACAGCACTGTTCATTTATCCCCCCAGAGACTGGCTAGTCGGCAGCTTCCTAGTCATTTAATATTTGTGTCAGATGATGAATAAAAGAAAATAAACTCATTATTTCCCCATTCTAATCCATTTTCTAAGGGGGTTTAATTCAATCCTAATCTCTGGACACTTGTATTCATCTCCTAAGTGATGGGAGTTATGTCTTCAACAGGGAAGAGCTGAAGGAGCAGCTGGAGAAGAAGAAAAAGGGCTCTCGACTTCTTGCAGACTTTGAGGACAAAATGAACGAGGTGTGTAAACAAATGCCGTGTTAATTGTGACTGGACACAAACACAACATGTTTTCATTTTCTCCTTCATTGGTGCATTTTAATACATCTACACAGTAAATTAGCTACCTTAAAGCTTAAGCTTTGACATAAATAAATGGCCTGTATTTGATATAGCGCCTTCTAGAGTCCTGGAACCCCCCAAGGCGCTTTACAACACAATCAGTCATTCACACATTCACACACTGGTGGGGATGAGCTACGATGTAGCCACAGCTGCCCTGGGGCGCACTGACAGAGGTGAGGCTGCCGAGCACTGGCACCACCAGTCCCTCCGACCACCACCAGCAGGCAAGGTGGGTTAAGTGTCTTGTCCAAGGACACATCGGCAGCGACAGACTGAGCGGGGCTCGAACCTGCAACCTTCCGATTACGGGGCGAGCTCTTAACTCCTGTGCCACCGTTGCCCCATAGATAGATAAATAGACACTGGTCATTAGCGAGGGGTGCACAGGTTTGTGTGAACACGTGAGCTGACTTCAGAAGGTTAACGGATCTTCCATTGTTGCTGTTTTCAGAGGTGGAGGAAGGAGCTGGCTAAAAACAGAGAAAAGAGGCTCGGTGACAAAGAGCGGGACAAGAAGTCTGTGGATAAAGTAGAGAACAAAGACAAAAAAGAGGTGTGGCTTCAGCTATTGTTCCACTAAGACCTTCCTTTGTAGAAGCTCTCTAATCACTTTAGCTTCATTTTTCTTTGTGTTTAGAAAAAGAAGAAGGAGAAGAAGAAGTCTAGCAGGGTGAGGAAAGACCTCCAGTATAGGGATTGAGGGTGTTTACTTCTGTCTCTCTCACACACACACACATACATTTCCTCGAAAATCCGTCTCGAGTAATTCTATGAAATCTAATGAACCCTGCTTCTACTGTCTTTTGGTCAAGCATTCTTCATCTTCCTCCTCCTCATCGAGTTCTGATTCTTCCAGCAGCTCCTCCTCAGAGTCTGGAGAGAAGGTCAGTCGTGCCACGGCTTTTAGTTTGGATGTTTTTTGTCCTGAACCTCTTAAGTTTAGCTCAGAAGTAATCTTGCTGAAGGCAAAAACGGACGTGTCATCGGTTCTGTCTTCTTACAGGATGAAAAGAAGAGTTTGAAGAAAAAGCGTAAGAGGAAGAACTCTTTAGCTAGAAGAGTGTCGGACAGTCCAGAAGAAGAGTCGGATTCTGAAAGCAAGGTTTGTCACTCTAAAGAGGGACGGATTATTTTCTTTCAGGGTGTTTGTGTAAAACAGATTAGTAAAAGCATTTTTCTTTCTTCCTAAGAAAAGGAAGCGAATCAAGGAAGAAGGAGATAAGGAAAAGGTAGTTTGTTTTTATTTAAAAGCTTGATTTTGTGGCTTAAGGGGTGTGTCCATTTGGGAAACTGTTAAACTTTTGTTTCTGTCAGATTGAAAAGGGCCGTGGCAGGAAGAGGAAGGCAGAGCGGAGTCACAGAGACTCGTCCTCGGAGCTGTCCGGTGTCTCGGATGGAGAGGAGGTACACCAAATGATAAGTTGCTGGAATAATCTGCGTCTGGACACCAGTGCAGACATTTCCTTTGTTTACCTGCCTTTAATAAATATGTGATGGAGAGATGGCACCAGCTCAGCGCCTTGGGCTTCCTGACAGGGTTGCGGAAGGCGCTTTATAAATAAAGCTTTGATTGATTGATTACTTTAGTACATTGATGCAGAAACTTTGTTTTCTTTTGTTTTGAGCTGTTTAGTGATGCATGTTTCACTTCATTTCTCTTTACGTCCACCTGCTAAACCAGACTTTTGGGATTTTGGTGAAACTCTCGTTTACCAAAGGCAGTAAGAGGTCTGGGTTCATAAACACACGTTAACCTTAATGTCTAAAACCTGTGAGGCTTATCTTACACAGCTCTTTTCAAAATTTAATAGAGAAACATGTAAAAAGTTGTTTTTCTACAGCTTCATCATTTCAAAATCCTTTTAGTTTTATTTAGTTTTTGGTCATTTCCATTAAAACTCACCCTAACTATTGGAAATATCAGCAACCTCCTCCATGCTGGATTTTAGTGATATGTACACACAGTGTGCTAATTAATCGGTTGTTCAATGATCTAAAGTCACCAACCTTTGTGAAGATGAGATCTTCTCCACGATCCTTGATCCTGATGAAGGGCCACCAGGCTGTCGGGAACAATTCTGACCTTTGACCTAGAATAACTAAACGTCAGCTTTCCCTCTGATGTCCTCATTCCTGATCCTGTTCATCCTCATCACTCACAAAGAGAACTCCAACATTTTGAGCTCTGCTGCCTCCAGATCTGTCTCCTGTCTTTTCCTCATGGACACTGTCTCACCAGACAGCATGGCTGCTTTCACTGATGTCTTCTACACCTGAAAACCTTCTATTGCACAGCACATGACACTTTTCTCCACCCGTTCCATCCTGCTTCAGTCGCTTCTTCACCTCTTTTCCATCCTCTGTTGCTTTGGACTGTACACCCTAAAGTCCTCTTTTATTTACCTCTACTCATTCTCTCTAGCTTCTCCTCTACCTGCACCCTGCTCTCACTACAGATCACTACATCATCTGTAAGCATCATAGTCCATGGAGACTCCCGTCTGACAGAGAGCTGAGGAAATTAACCTAATAATCGAGGCATTGAGTTGTGGACAGAAACGGTTATGGATGGTTGTAGAAGCAGACCAGAATTGATGATAATAGAATGCAGTTTTGTTTTTTTAACTGCGGCACCGGTGTGGCATCCATTATGTCAGAGTGGGTTGTGTCATTACACACACACACACACACTCACTGACATGCTGCAGGAATGAGTTCTAACCTGAGACCGAACCGAGTAAGCCCGATGGGTTAAGTTGGATTTGGGCCGATTGATTACATTGATTGGGCGGGTTGAGTCGCACGCTTGGACAGCAGAGAAAGAGAGAGAGCTGGACCGAGTGTCTGCTCACACGACCGAGGAGACGAGGACGCGCCTCTAGACACGCATTATTATTCCTCCTTGGTGTTTTAAGGAGTGCTAAAAAACCAGTTCAGTCAGGCTCAGACCGAGTGTTTGGATGTCCGGTGTGTGGGCGAGTCACAGCGGCTGCAGGATCTGATCTTAATATTCAGGGACATGAAGAAGTTTACAGGAGAGAGCGCTCCTCTGAATAATCAAAGAGAAATGAAGAACTTTGTGCTGATGTTCCACCCTGGAGAAGTTCTTGTTGCATTTTAGATGATGAAAAATTAATGTGGAATTCAATTTAAAGAAAAACTGGGAGGGAGGAAGTTTTGGTTCATTTCAAGTTACAGAAGATCCTGTTTCCCTTATCTGCTCCTCCCCGGAGACACCATGGACACGAGGAGATAAAAGTCTAAATGTTCCCAAAGGACAGGTTATTGGAGACATTTGTAGTTGGAGACTCATTTAATCCTTAATCAGCCCTCAGCCTCTTGCCGGGATTATCATCAGCAAAAATTCAACAAACTTCTCAAATTAGTTGAGGATTTTTAAAAAAATGTATTATTTTCTGCATTAAACAGAACTTGATCCATTCTCCAGGATTTCTGAAGAGACCATTGGGTTCAAACTAAATAACAAACTAAGCCAGACGCTTCATGTGGCGTTACTTATTTCTTAGGCCTTTGATCTGCAGCATAAATATTGACCCTAAAGCTGCTCATAGACATTAAAAGCTAATATTTAGACCATTTTGGGATCGTATAACCTTCATTGTAGACAAGAATTGGACATGTCCAGTAGGTTTTCAGTGTTTTTAAAGATTTTTTTTTAGCATCTGCAGAACATATTTGTCCCACAGCCTGAGGTGTTGAATGAGGAAACAGATTTTTTTTTAGTTTTTGAAAAATGTTTTGCATTTTAAGACTGTCCTAAGGACTGTTGTGACTGAAGAGCTATTGGGGGTGGCATGTTGTTTCAGACATGTTTTTGATATAAAAAAAAGCAAATATCTGACCTTCTATTTATCAATTCAATTCAGTTCAAGTTTATTTATATGGCGCCAAATCACGACAAGTCTCGTCTCAAGGCACTTCACAAAGTAAACATTCCAATACAGGTCAGTTCGTTAAGTCAGTCAGTAAAAAGTTTCCTATATAAGGAACCCAGCAAATTGCATCGAGTCACTGACTTTGCAGCAATCCTCATACTAAGCAAGCATTTAGTGACAGTGGAGAGGAAAACTCCCTTTTAACAGGAAGAAACCTCCAGATGATCCTGGCTCGGTATAATGAGCCATCCACCACGACACACGTACGCACACACACACACACACACAACTAGTAATGTTTCTATGGTTACATTGTGATTTCTTAGTAAATATTCTATTTGGTGAGAGATAAACTTTATTGTATTTATCCTAGTGGATCTATAATTAAACAGGTAAACTAGTAGTAGCACATTCAATGTCAAGGATAGTAAAATGTTATTATCAGGAGAGAGAGAATGTTTTAGTGGTTAGCAACAGTGTTCTAGCCAATGACCCAATCCATGAGGCCACCACAGCTCAGCAGAACATCATTGTAGCTTCTTCTGGGGAGAGAAACACTTAGAGAAAAACAAAGTTAACAGCTGAAATAGCAGGAAATAATAGAGTTAAAGAGCAAATTGTAGAAGAAAGTAGTCGAGCGTGGAAAGTGGTCGGGAAGTCCTCCAGCAGTCTAAGCCTATAGCAGCATAACTACAGAGATAACTCTGGATAACCTAGCCTTTTTAGATGGAGGCATGTTGGAGGCAGGGCAAGGGAGAGCCGTCTTTACCGACTGTACACTCCACCTCCCTCTACTCCCCCACTTGTCCAGATCTAGGCTAACATCAGATGTTAACCATAGGCCCTATCAAATAAAAATATTTTAAGCCTAGTCTTAAAAGTAGACAAGGTTTCTGCCATGATAACAAATCAATATAAAATAATCGTGATGTATCGAGATATCAAATCATTGACACAATAATTGAATTGTGAGACTAGTGAAGAACACCTCTAGTCTAACTTCATCTGTCAGCCTGTCCACCACCAAAGCAAACAAGGAGGTGCTTAGCTGACCCTTGATGCAGTCCCAACTCCACCTTAAACTGCTGCAGCACATCCAACTCCACCTTAAACTGCTGCAGCACATCCAACTCCACCTTAAACTGCTGCAGCACATCCAACTCCACCTTAAACTGCTGCAGCACATCCAACTCCACCTTAAACTGCTGCAGCACATCCAACTCCACCTTAAACTGCTGCAGCACATCCAACTCCACCTTAAACTGCTGCAGCACATCCAACTCCACCTTAAACTGCACCACAGCTCCTCTCTCAGCACCCTGTTGAATGCTTTCTTTTAATCATCAAAGACACAATGCAGCTCTGACCTTCTCTGTACTTCTCAATCAGCATCCTTAAAGTAAAAAAAATCTGTTGTCCTCTTTCTTGGCATCAAATAATTCTGCTGCTCACAGATGCTCACTTCTGACCTAACACTAGCGTCCACCACTCTTTACCAGAGCTTCATTGTTAAACTCATAAGCTTTGTTCCTCTAGTTTCCACAATTCTGTAAACTATATCTGCTGTAGCAGAAAATAGTATTTTGTGCTATTTTTAGAACAGGCCTGAGGGCACCTCCTAACCCTAACCTCATAGGGTTCCTGGGGGGACCATGGTGCCGATGGGCAGCAGGTTGGTGACCGCTGATTTAAAGCATTGCCACAATCCTCTCCAGTCTTGAGTTTCGAAATCACAGAAAGGTCAAACAGTAAAAGTCTCCGTTATTAAGAAACGTGTCTGTTTTAGGTGGGACTTCCTCTTGTCTTCAGTAACGTCTGAACTTTTCTTCCTCCTCTAGGCCGAAGCTAAGAAGAAAAAGAGAAGTAGTGAGGAGGAGAAATTCACAGTGAGCAAATACTTTTCTTCCAAAATGCAAAACAGATTATTTTTTTTTACTGTTAAATTATCTGCAAGTGCTTCACGCAGCAAAAAGACTATTTTCTAAATACAAAACGTTTGGTTTTCAGATCAAATCCAAGAAGAAGAGGAAAAAGAAGCACAAGAAACACAGCAGGAAAAAGAAAAAGAAGGCAGCGTTTCAGTCGGACTCTGAGCTCGATTAACAGCCGTTCTTTCCAGTTCTCATGTTCACACGACGGCTCGCTAGTGGTGTCACGTCTGCCTTGGATTAGCAAACTCAACCTCTCCTACCCAGCTTCAGCCATCACATCCACGAGGACACTGGGCTTCTGAGTCCCGTTCCCTCTCTGTGAAAATACGACTTTGCTCTTTTTTTATGATTTTTGAAGATTTTATTTTTTTTAGTTGAACTCAAGACTAGGAGGAAGATTTTTGATTCTTCCCTCTTCATTCACACCGGACCTCTTCCATCGCCACACGAGGCTGTTGAGCTGGTGCCTGTGTCATGCATGTAGACCTGATGTCTCGCCAGCCTCATATTGAAGTTGGAGCTTTAAGCTACACACGTACAAATGGATTCAGGGGATGAGTTAACATTTGCTGTGTAAATTTAAAAACTACAGAAATTCATTGCTAAAGTATTGCTTAAGCCTATTTGGCTGTAAGTAGTCAGAACTTGTAGATATCGGATCCATTTTACAACATAATTCTGTCCTGGATTGGGTTAGTTGAAACCAGAGGTGTCCAAAGTCTTCAATGACAAGGGTCTAAATGGTTTAAGACATGCAGAAATGATTTTATGGTGAAATGGTTTCATTTCTACTCCAGTAAATAAGTCCACCATAGGCACATTAGTAGCAAAATGAACATAATGTTAGACGATAGCAGCAGCCTGTTGGGGGAGTTGGCAAAATTAATTATTCCACAAATAAAACGGTGAGGAGCAGAATTATTTAACAGTCTGCGATTTAGCAATTTCTCCCACTTAGAAATCATTGATGGGTCTGAAATTCACATTTTATAATTTTTAAGAATTTACTTGTATTGCTGCACAAACATATTTAAAAAAAACTCAAATCCGATGATACTGACATGGACGTAATTTTGGGGGGGAACAGGGGGGACATGTCCCCCCCACTTTTTCCAAAATCAAGTTTTGACCCCTGCACTTTTTACCATCCAAAAACAATATTATGCTATATTAAATTGACACTGGTTGAGCTCTAAGACCAAGCGGAAAACAGCCATTTGTGTTGAAACCTGTTTCCCATTAGAGCATACTGTAAAGATTCCCCCCCCCCCCCCCCCCCCCCGTGTCCACCCCACTTCTCAAGTGAAAATTACGTCCATGGATACTGATGTTGGTGGTGCTCTAGTATTAAAAGTAGGATTCATTGAAACTAGTTTTTGCTTCCAAATAGACACGTGTAGGATTTTTAAAAGTTATCCTGACTAGTTTAGGATTTCTAAAGGTTCTGGTCTTTGTACTTGATCCACCACTACATACTGTTCACTTGGTTCCTCAGTCTTAAGACAAAGAGAAGTGTCCAAGTGGAGGTGAGTCTAAAAGAAAAACAGAACCATATCTGAAAGCTGTCTAAAAACAGGAAGTTATTCATCAAAACAGATTTAACTGAAAAGATGTGAAGGTCCGATCTAAATCTGGTTCTGTGCCGACTTGTCTCCATCCTTTAAGTTTTCTTTGGGTGAGTAATAAGTGAGAGTTAAACACCTGGAACCAAAACACCGGGAACCGGACCGAAAATGAGCCCAAAGTAAAAAGTTACAGAAGAAAACTTGAAAAGATTCCAACATCTGAGAGTAAAATCTGAAGAAATGTGTGATGGCCTGAGTCAGAGTGGTGTGCCCTTTTTCGGTGTGATATTTTATGTCGAGCATTGTTTATCCTCGGTTTACTTTTACACAGCGGTGTGTTATGTAGACTCACATTGTGCAATCGACCACGAAACCTCTGTTCATAAGGCTTGTGTTCAATCTCTGCTCTGTACAAAACACAAATAAAGATGCTTTACAACATGACAAACTAATGAAATCAGCATTTTTTTTTCACATTTTCATTTAATCAATTCAGAAGTATTGCCTTGTTAGGAGTAGACCAGTAAAAGCATGTTCCACTGTTTCGTCCTGTACGTTATCTGTAACAAGCTCTTTTTCCTGATTTTGTCCTGTTTGCCTCATGCCCTCCGTCCTTTGAGAGTCGGAAAGCCATCTGCCAGTTCTTCCCTTATCCCAAAGTGTCTGCCTCTTTTTTTTTACTTTTAATTTGATTATTGCTTTCACTGAACCTACCCTGCATATTCGTTAGTAGGGCTGCACAATATATCGCAAATATATCGTTGTCGCGATATCAACGCGCATTTTGCATATCGCAAAAAGAAAGATGAATTCGCAATGAATGGTCAGCTCAAATGTTTGCTACACATAATGCATTCTGTTGTAATCATTAATAAAGTGTAAATTGGGTTAAGTTAACACTACTTGTGACCAATAAGTGGTGATACTCTATTTAACTAGAATATCACCTGCTTGGTCTTATTGTTTTAGTCAAAAGATTCTAGGATTCTTTTATTCATTAAGTGTGTGTAAACCCAAACATATTTAAACAAATTGTTTTAACAAATATCTGCTTTATCTTCTGTTTGGCTGGTTGGGGTATGAGTGGGAGTGTCGAACCTCATCTATGAGGCCATAAATAGGGATGTGTGTGTGTTCAGTTTGGGGAAGTGTGAAGTGTGGGACAGGAAGAAACACTTGTCAACTTGAAGGTATTGAAAGGTTTTCTTGTTCTAAACATTTTAATCTGCCATAACTAGTAATGATGTGAGTCTCAGAACCATATGTTGAGATACAGCTGCACTTATTGGTGTGTGTGTGTGTGTTTTCACCAGATGTTGAAAACCGCCCTGTGGTTGTACGCTGGAGTGTGTGTGTGGGGCTTTGCCTTTTGCTCAATCAAATGTCCAGATGGCACCCTCTGCCCTGACATGAACACATGCTGTTTGTCTTCAAACGGATACGAGTGCTGTCAATATCCAAAGGTGGTTCAGATGGATTCTAATCAATTTTGAAGCATTAGACGAGGAAAACTAATTTCCTCTGTGCTTATTTTCCATTAAGGCTGTGTGCTGCTCCGACCTGACCCACTGCTGCCCCTCAGAGTACAGCTGTGACCTGAGCAGGCAGCTGTGTGTGAAGGACAACCAGCCGTGGCTGAACACTCCCATGCTAAAGCGACAGGCCGCTGAGGCCCCGAGCATCCCTGATCTGTCCGTAAAACTCTTTCAGGAGCTCTCAAACATCGACCCAGAGCAGAAAGCAGCAGTAGTCCACTGTGACAATCATTACTACTGTCCTGATGGAACCACTTGCTGCCTGTATGCAGCCGGCGGCTGGTTCTGTTGCCCCTTCTCTCCTGTTAGTAAACCTGTCTTATCAGACTCAAAATCATAGAGGAACTCTGTTATTTTAGGATTATGAATGCTTCATAATTCACATATTTTGTCTTTTAGGGGAGATGTTGCATGGACCGTCACCACTGTTGTCCATCAGGCTACAACTGTGACTACACGTTCACTCACTGTGTCAGGAGAGGCCTGAGGTATCCGTTCATTTCCAGACCGGCTCTGACTTCAGTCCCAGCCAGCCTCATTTTTCCATCACAGGATAAGAGCAGTGAGCTGCAGGTAGGAGACACTTCACCGTTTTACCTCTGTGCAAAAGTAAATCTATTTATGTTCAGTTTCTGCACTAATTATGGTGCTGAATTAAACACGAATTAGTGGAGAAAGGTCCGTTTTAAAATTCCGCAATGTTTCTGGTGATAAACCCCCCAAATGTTGCAACATTAATTTGAAGCTGTGGCTTGCTGTGGTTGCACATTTCAGTCAAAGCAAGTTAACAACTGAAAATAACTGAATTTTATCAAGATGCAGGAAATGGTCGTTGCAAAGAAGAAACCAGAGCAGTGTAAAGGGAAATGTAAATCCCAAACTAAGGTAAAATTAAGTTTATGAAAGCAGTGAAGTGACAAAAAACTGGATAAAGCAAACACATACAAATGCATTCCAAGATACTTTTGCGTCCGTGTGCAGAAAATGTTGCACACACGCTCACAAACTGCCTTTAGTCGCTCTACTTCCCGCAGGTTTGGGTTTGGCAGCTTTGTTGCTCACTGTTGGTTACCTAGAAATGATACACAAGACAGAGGAATCAAAATATTCATTCATACACCTAGAGAATTAACAAAATGTTTAGTTGTTTTAGGTCTGCTTTCAGTATGCCATTACGGCCAGAAATATGGATAATACCCTCGACTGGACATTAAAGATTAATATTGGAAAAGTTATGTGAAATGTAGTCAGAAATTATATGAATAGATATTAATAAATACAATGGGATGCAAACGTTTGGGCAGCGTTGTTAATTTTCATAGTTTTCCTGTATACATCGTTGGTTTTTATGATAAAGTTAAACACATCATGTCGGAGACACACAGTAATGTCTGACAAGTGAAACGACGTTTATAGGATTTACAGAAAGGAAATTTCCAGAAAGTCCTTAATGACTCTGCTCCAGCTAGTCCAAAACGCTGTTGCCAGATTTCTGTATGGAGCACGTAAGTGGGAGCGTGTCACTCCCCTCCTGACAGCTTTGGACTAGCTACCGGTGAAGAGTTGCATCTTGTTTAAAATCCCCGCCTGGATCAGCGCCACCATATTTAGCCTCCCTGCAGACCCGTTATGTCCCTGCAAGATTGCTATGTTCAGGTCAGAGTGACCTTTTGGGGGTACCGCGATCAAAGCGTAAGTCTAGGGGTGATCGTGCCTTTGCAGTTCTGGGTCCTCGGCTTTGGAACCAACTCCAAGAAATCAAGCCGTCCACATCGCTGCCCGCTTTTAAAGCAAGGCTTAAGCTGTATTTTAGATCTGTTTCTTAGTTGTTTTCATTCACATTTTAATGTTGTTGATCACTATTTTTATTGTTTTTAGCTCTTTTTTGTTTGTTTTTAAATGTTTTTATCTTTGTATTTTATTATAGAGCTGTTTTATTGTGCTGCTTTTTTGTACTATGTTCAGCACCTTGGGCCCCCTTGATTTGGGGTGGAAATGGGCTTTATAAATAAAATGATTGATTAAATGAGAAAGTGTGCAATAATTGTTTAAAAAAATTAGACAAATTCATTAATTTGTGTCATTTTATAGCTTCCCAAACCCTTACAACTAATTACTGGAACTCTAAATTGGTTTCGTAAGCTGAATGACCTTTGGCCTCCATACACAGGTGAGTCTAGTTGTGACAGTGTGAGCGTGTCATGATTCAGTGTTGGTAGGACCCAAAATGCAGTACCCAGGATGACACGAGGCAGAGATGATGAATAAGAAAAATCCTTTATTTTAAGGAGAACAAAAAATAAGTCCAAAGGCTGGAAGCCAAAATCCAAAAGTCCAGATAACAATCTGGAGATCCAAAAAACACTCGAGACACGAGAAGACCAAGAACACTAGTATACCAAGACGAGACTGACAGACTTACAAACAATGGACCGAACAAGACAGAGACAAGACAGGGCTTATATACACAGGGAGGAGTAATTAGGGAAAACGGCAGCAGGTGTGTGGAGTGAGGGCTGGAGGGAAGACAGGTGAATCTAATAATCTACCTGGGAAAACAGAAACAGAGGAGGGCAAATACCTAAACACAAAACTAAACAACAATATCTAAAGACAGAGGGAAGGGCTAACACAAACTAGCTGGAGGAGGACATAACATACACACACACATACACTAAGTTGGGGAGGACACGCACGCACACACACACACACACACACTTACACTGAGTTGGGGAGGACACACACACACACACACACACACACACACACACACACACACACACACACACACACACACACACACACACTTACACTGAGTTGGGGGAGGACACACACACACACACACACACACACACACACACACACACACACACACACACACACACACACACACACACACACACACACACACACACACACACATACACTGAGCTGGGGACAAAGAGGCTGGAGCTGACCTGGGAGGAATGATTAAAAGGGTAACAATATTAAGACACATAATTGAGATGCAGACAAAGGACACATGAGGGCGCTAAGAGACACAGAAGGGAAACATCAGGAGACAAATGAAGGAAGACACAGACGCAGACCATGACAGAGCGTCCTGTCACTGTATCCCGATTGATCATGCGCCCTGTCTTGGCCAAGGGGATGTTTCTCTGGCTGACTGGTTAGCGTGCATGACGCTCACCTGGGAGTCTGCGGATCAAATCCTGCTTGGGCCCTTGTTTTCTAGCCTGGCCTGCCAGACTCGTCCTCTGTCTAATTCTGCACAGAGAAAGAGTCTGGTAACTCACAGGCAGAGAGGCACTTGAGGGGCGGGACTAGGCAGTTCAAAAATTACCAATCAGAAAAAAGATGGAAATGCCGACTGTATCGAGCGACACTCTAGTAAAAAACGGCGTCTGGCAACGGCGCAAACATCTTTTTTTTTTTTTAGAAGAAAGGTGTAAGGTAATTGCATCAATCCAGGACTACCTTAGGGAAAGTTTAATGCACGGGGGTTATAGTAATCAATCAATCAACACCAATACCAATCATAAACAATCAATTAAGACTTTGCAAAGCGGAGAGAAAAATCAGTACACACCAAGCTTGAATTCAGTCCGTTCTCTCATCGGACTTCCGTCCTCCGACAGCATTTATTGAAAACCCAAGCACACACACACACAATTCAAATTCCTTAAGCTGTTATGTAGACTTTCAGGCGGGAAGCTGCTAGTGAAGGGAGTCTCAGCCCAGGTGCACGCTCTAAATCAACAAAGCAGTTTCTAGACTTTCTCATGGGAGTGTTACTGATAAAGATCTGTTCCGAAGCAAGGTCAATCCTCCCTGTGGAGACTGGTGGAGGCTGGTAGTGACTGTCAACTGGATGAAGCTGCGTTTAAACATTGTTAATGAGGCACTAGGTGTTTAGCAGTCAAGACATTAATATCAATTCAATAATAATATCAGTTTTTACTTAACGTTCCTCCCTGTAAACGCTAGGTTCATCCCCTATAATTGACAGTGTAATAAAACAACAGTAACAACACTACGATTAAGGTAAATATGTTTGTAGTTGTAGAAATCAAACTACCACACAAAGAAAAGATCACAAAATGCATTGCATGCAATGCATTCTTTTTCTTCTTTTTCTTCTTCCAGCTCCTCTCTTTGCTGCAGGAGTGTGTACTGTACCAGAGCATGTGTCATTCGCTTGTTTACACTACTCTTCAGACAAGGGATTACACAGCTTATAACCAAGCAAATCCTAACTAGGATAAAAATAACAGGTGCAAGACATTTTAACAAAAGCTGATACCAATTACCAGTAGTCAGCCAATTCATCAAGTTCCAGGATCCTCCAGTCGATTCTTTGGATTTCAGGTAGTTGCTAGAGGGGGAAAGTTAATGTACTCAGCTCTAACTGTGGCAGAGCTGAGGTCAAAGGGCTTGTCCGTGGACTGGAAACTGTAGTTTGAGCAAAACAATGTCCTCTTCAGGATGGTTTTGCATTCTTGTGGTTTCGAAGTGGGGAAAGGTGATGCACAAGAGTCCTTTAGGGTCGTCGTTGGAGAATGGGCGGAAGGTCATAACAGACTTAAACTCTCTTACTTCAGCTCTGATGTCCTCGTAAGGACGGCCCCTTCCTCTGTGACCTCATATGAGGAGGGGTGCAGGCGAGCCAGGTTGCAAATTCCACACCAGTTGTGTGGCAGGTCAGGTAGAGAGAGCTTCCGCACTTCCAGATGTATCTTTCAGGGGTCCCCAGTCCCATGACTGAGGGGGCCACGAGAACATGTTTGTTTGTGTTCCATGGGGGGGGGGGGGGGGGGGGGGGGTAGAAAGGTCGTCCAGTCATTTCGAGGCTCAACAGGGTCATGTTAATGGTGACATATCCAGGGACATCAGACCGAGTTGTCAACCAATGTTTCTTGGCAGGGGATTTAATCCATCCAGCTGGGAGAATGCCATCACAGATGGATCTGCCTAGATGAATCGTGAAGTTTAAACATGGCGTGGAGAAACAGAAGGGGTCTTTTCCTGTGAGGCGAAGGAGATGCAACCCCTGAGAAATAGATGCGTTTGTTGATGTAGAGAAGTTGGCGTGGCATGTCCAGCGTCTTTGTTGATGTTGAGGTGAGCAGCAGTGTGGGATGGTGCGCATCCGTCCCTTTATAGCTTGGATGGTGAGAGCGTGTAGCAAACATATCATTCATCATGGTAGGGATAGCTGTCATTGTGGGGTTTTCCACTGAATGATGGGGGATCCAGGAACAAACATAGCAGCTGTTATTTAATTCTAGTCTTTTAGCAGTTAGATTTACCATGTGGAACCAGGTGTTTTGGTGTGCTTCGTGGATTTCTATGGGAGTAGGCTTCGTTTGTGTGGTGTGTGAATTCTTCAGAGTCCAGTGGACTGTAGTAAACAGTAGGAGGGCGTCGGAGAATTTCATGGTGGTGGAGGTGCAAACAACTGAATTAATAGCCTTCCACTAATGGGAAGTTTGACCGCTAGGTGTCAGGGATCTTTTACCTGTGTATTCTTCACCGAGCATTGTGACGCAGAATACTAAAAATCACTGCCCCTTTGAAGCCGGACTTCCCCCTGACACGTGTCTATTAATTCACATGTTTTTGCAGTTTGCAATGGGAGAGATGAATCCAGGTGGGTCGTTCAGCGATTTCCACAGCAGTGGGAGTGGCCAGCAGAACTTGGAACTTTGTATGGCTTTTGCACGACCTTCTTCAACCCCTCTCTCTTTATTCTGCTCTCCCCACCTATTCCACCTTCTTCAGGATCCACTGATTTCCCTCTTTCCTGTTCACTCTCTCTCTTTCTTAACATTTTTTAATCACAATTGTCTATTTTTGTAGATTTTATATATATTTTTAAACATTTTCTAAATGCTTTTTTATAATTTTACTTTTTTTTTGTGAAACGCCTCGTGATTTTTATCTTGAGAGGCGCTATAGAAATGATATTTTCTTCTTCTTCTTGGAAAGGTCCTTCCCACTTGGGACTGATCCAGTTTTTCTTTTGATGACTTTGATGAAGACCCAGTCCCCAGGCTTAATGGCAGGCGTTGTGTCCTGCAACATAGGAGAAAAAACAGGCCAGGAATTTGCAGTTTGAAATTCTTTAGACAAAATCAAAGCCAAAGTTAGTTTGTTAATCAAAGGCAGTTTATATGGCCCGCCATAAATAATTTCTAAAGGTGTTAGTTCTGTGTTAGTTGGAGTCATTCCCATGTATCTCTTTACCAAGTCTAAGCATTCTGGTCCAGGCTAGACATTCAGTGCGTTTACATGCAGCCAGTAACTCTTTTAAAATCCGAATATTCACAATAACCCGGTTCCGCAGGTCCTTGTAAACACCGCCAAAAACCCGGATATGCTCATAACCGGGTTTTTAAAAACCCGGTTACTACACCTGGGGTAACCCTTTTCTAACCCGAATGTTTGGTCGTGTAAACGTTTACCGGGATATCCCCATCAAAGCGTGTGTTCTGCGCATGCTCTGTTCGCAAGGAATCTTGGTCTTTTGAGTAGCGAGACGTCTTGTATGCGCCAGAACACCGGAAGTAAACAACAAGTTGGGAGCAACATGGCGAGTCGCGCCACAGCACCACACTTTTGGAGTGACGAAGAAACTAAAGCGCAAAGAAACGCGGTCGCTATCTCTTCCGAACTGGGAAACATGTTGTTGTTTTCACGGATACCAGAACAAGAAGAACCGGAAATGACGCATATTGCGTCTGGACGTAGTCCACACGTCCTGACGCCACCTCAACGTCCGCATTTAAATCGGGTTATGCAAGTTAGGGGTAACTCTTTCTATTTATGCTTGTAAACGGGTTATTCTGATCAACTCAGAAACCCGAATACCGACCTTAACCCGATCATAACCCGGATATTGGCTGCATGTAAACGTAGTCATCCAGTCCCCCCCCCCCCCCCCCCACCCCCCGTGGAGGCAGGGGTCACCAGTAACTAAAATCAGGCCCCACACACATGTGAGGATAATATTAAGGAACTGGCAATTACTAGAACACGTCAGACAGGGGGCAGAGCCGTGCAGCACAGTTTGAACTCCAAAATAACTCATTAACCCAGAATGTTGAGAACTAAAATCAATCTAATAAAAACAAAAGGAAATCATAAAGCTTTGCAGTGCCGGCCAAACTTTCATCTTTTGTGGTTTTTCAATTCAAACTCCTAGTGTTCTAACACCAGCAAACCTCATTATGACCTGTGAATAATCGAAACACACACAAAAAACAACTGGGTGAGAAAGGATTTGCACAACAAAGGAAAAGAGCAACTTATAAAAACACATAGTTTTAACATGGAACCTTGATTAGGATAGGATTAATCTATTTCTAACAAGCTTAAAACTCTGCATTGGCTTCAAGGTGAATCAAGGCCAAAAAAACAAACAAAAACCAACTGCCTTAAACTCCATGAAAACTGACTAAGCCCTAAACAAACAAACCAGTAAAATAAAGACATGTATCTAAACCTAACTCCCTGTCTAATGGAAAACAAGTGAAAAAAGATGTCAAACAAAATGGCAGTTCACCTCTACTCAGCAGCAACAAAACAAACCAATCCAAGTAAAATCACTTCCACAAACAACCTTTTAGGACCGATTCATCTGTAACTGTACTACTGAGTATATCCGGTGTACGGTTCTTTAACCGGTTATTTGTGTCAAAACAAAAAATAAATAAAAACAGAACAAAAAGATGGTTGATGTAGTTTTTTTGTTGTTTGATTGAGACCATGATTGTATTGCATTGTGTTATGTTCCAGCACTGAAACAAAAGCACGAAAACCTATAAACATTAGAATATATACAAAATAAATCAACTTCAATCGCAAAGGAGCAGAATGGGGAAATGGGCTCACAATATCTGCTCACTTCTTCCAGCAGAAATAAAGAGTAAAGGATTAAAAACAATCCATTTACTACAAGTCTACTTGGGGAAATAAAGGGAAAACAGTTAAATTTGCCACAAACAACCGAACCATTCAGTAAGGTGAAAGAGAGCCAACAACTATTTGGTTTGAGATTTATGATGGGGCTTAAATTCTTATCACCAATAAGCATTTCAGTCAGAACCTTGATCCTGTGTCCATGAGCTGAGCTGATGTTTACATTCCGAAAGGGAACAGACAACCACAGTAACCAAAATACTATCATGAAATGCCAGTGTTAACTCTGTCAACAAGCAAAAGAATACTGCTAAACTAAAAACTTCCAGTAGGAAACCAGACAATTGAGTTATAACTCAGTACGTAGAATAGAACAACGGATCTATCTAAGGAAAAATAAAGCGTATGATATTATAATAATGATCAAAACCAAATACTTGGAGAAGCCTAGAGGTGTTTGAAGGCTTTCCATGACAAAAGAAAAAGAATAACAAACAATGAATAACACATAGACAGACATAGATGAAACCAAAAGATTAAGGTGGCCACCGTGAAGAGACGACAGGAGGAAATAAAACCTATATATATATATATGTATATAGTGAGTTACATTAACACATCAGTTTTGATCTGCTCATTTCTAGTTATACTTCCAGACAGTTTACGAGTGCTCTCATAAAGATAGACGTCAGAGAGATTCAAGTGATGACAAACAATGATTTGGAAATGCCCAATATGCAGTTTTGAATACAAACAGGTACTGCGACACCAGTTTCATAGTCATGAGAGAGTATTTAAGGGGGTCAATTGTAAGTTTTTCCTCCTCTGTGAATATTCTCTGGAGAGCAGCAACATGGGGGTCTCAGAACAACTCTCACATGAGCTGAAAACAAAGACCTGACACCATCATGGTTTGGGGGAAGGATCCAGAAAGCTGTCTCAGAGATTTTAGCTGTCTGTTTCCACAGTTAGGAACATATTGAGTAAATGGAAGATCACAGGCACAGTTCATGTTAAGGCTCCAAGTGGCAGACCAAGAAACATCTCAGACAAACAGAAGTGAAGAATGGTGAGAACGGTCAGTCACCCACAGACCAGCACCAAAGACCTACAACATCATCTTGCTGCAGATGGAGTCAATGTGCATCATTCAACTATTCGGTGCACTTTACACAAGGAGATGCTGTATGTGAGAGTGATGCAGAGGAAGCCTTTTCTCCACCCACAGCACCAACAGAGCTGCTTGAGATGCGCTAAAGCACTTCTGGACGAGCCAGCTTCATTCTGGAATAAGGTGCTGTGGACTGATGAAACTAAACTGAGTTATTTGGGCAGAACAAGGGGGCGTTATGCATGGAGGAGTAAGAACAGCATTCCAAGAAAAACACCTGCTACCTACAATAAAACATGGTGGTGGTTCCATCATGCTGTGGGCTGTGTGACCAGTGCAGGGACTGGGAATCTTGTTAAAGTTGAGGGACGCATGGATTCCACTCAGTATCAGCAGATGCTGGAGACCAATGTCCATGAATCAGTGACAAAGCTGAAGCTGCACCGAGGCTGGATCTTTCTACAAGACAATGACCCTAAGCACTGCTCAGCATCTGCTAAGGCATTCATGCAGAGGAACAAGTAGAACGTTCTGGAATGTTCTTCTCAGTACCAGACCTGAATGTTATTGAACATCTGTGGTGTGAGTTAGAGAGAGCTGTCCATGCTCAGAAGCATCAGACCTGAATGAACTAGAGATGTTTAGTAAAGGAGAATGGTCCAAAATACCTTCAAGCAGAATCCAGACTCTCATTGGAAGCTACAGGAAGAGTTTAGAGGCTGTTATTTCTAATAAAGGAGGATCTGCTAAATATTGATGTCATTTATTTTTTTGTGGTGCCCAAATTCATGCACCTGCCTAATTTAGTTTAAACAATTATTGCACACTTTCTGTAAATCCTATAAACTTTGTTTTACTTCTCAAACATCACTGTGTGTCTCCTATACGATATATTTAACTGAAATGTTTTATCGTAACAACCAACAACTTGTACAAGAAAAGCATGATTAACAAGGCTGACCAAAGTTTAGCATCCCACTGTATAGTTGATAAACAATAAATATCTAAATACTTAGATAACAACTTATTAATTTGTCTTTTTCTTCTTTCCAGACATCACTGACGGCGCTAACAGAAGCCAGCAGCAGCTCTTTTCAGCATGGAGTCATTCGCTGTGATGACGACTTCTTACTGCCCGACCGGGTCCAGTTGCTGCAACGGCCCATTGGGCCAATGGAACTGCTGTCCCTTCCCACTGGTATATATTGTGTCATCATGAGAATAACTACTGTATTAGTGCACAGTCTGAACCTGAATGTTTAAATGCCGACCAGTATTTGTCTGATTTTAGGGTACGTGCTGTGCTGATGGACGGCACTGCTGCCAGTATGGCTGCAAATGTGATCCATCATCCTCCAAATGCACAAGATAGCAGGACAGCAGAGAAAACAGGACAAAGAGGACCAGGCACACAAGTGGACTGTCCTGCTTTGCTTTTGGGTCAATACTTTCGATAAAATCTTGCATTGCTTCACCAAGGCTTGGTACTGAATCACACCCCTACTTCCACTAGAAAATAATTACTGGGTAAAGTTTGTGATGTTTAGTCTGATGTTAGATTAATGCTGCTGCGTGGTCATGTGTCACAAGGTGCAGTTAGCATGTCTCGCTGGAAATCTGAGCAAAATTCACGCCAATATTTTTTTTTACATCACTGACGGCGCGTTTTGGCATTTTAAATGTGCTTCAAATGTTTAATTTTCCTTCTGCCAATAAATTTATGAAGGAATGGTTGCAGTTTAATTTATTTACTTCGTTCATTTAGAACCAAGTGAATTCAATATACAAACAATATTTGAAAAATCTTCTAAAATAATTTGAATACAATTTAATGAATCCTTTGATATATAAAATAAGTCCTTCTGATATAAATTTAGTGATTCCAGGCCTGAAAACACATTAAAGAGCTACTCCGAAAGAACCACTGCGGATTTTACAGACAGAAAATGTACTAATAAAAGAATAAGAAACACGCTGACTTCAAAATACTTTCCACAACAAAAGATAGTGTTTGTTTAAAGATCTTGATATCTCTGTAAATAAAATAAGAAACAAAAATCCCTTTTTCCACTTTCACAAAAAAGAGAGGAATTCCACAATTAATTTTTTTTTACCATCTTAAAGCTGGATCTCATTTATCTTGTACTATTAATATAATGTGAGGGAGTCTTCTAACAGGGATGAATAATCTAGATATTTTGTTTTGGATAAATTAATTTTAATTTTCTTTACTGCTGGCTTGTCATACAAGTTAAAGTGTTGTTCTTGGTAAAGCGAGTCTTAAGTTAAGTTAGTATGATCTATCAACATAAGGGAAAGGAGAATAACGGCGTCATAAGGTTGATTCTTCCATTCAGAAGGTGGCGGTAGTTTGCCTAAGTGTTTTTGGGACCGCTAAAATAACAGAAGAAGCAGAAGAACCGGAAGTGGTTTAGCTGCTGGCGGAAAAAGAACAGGAAGTGTTGAAAAGTGGCCTCCAGCAAGTGTATTTGAGAACTGAGCTCAGGGTGAAAATGAGTGAAATTGAAGCTTTAAGGGCGTTTGTGTTGGAGCAGCTTTCTACAGCTGCTACTGAAATAATCGGTGCTTTTACAAAGACCATAACTTCTTATGAGGAGCGGATTTCCTGTTTGGAGAAAGAAAACGAGCGCTGCCGTTCTGTCGCCACAGCGAAGTTACCGAAAACAGGTTAGACCACCAGGACGACTAAATAAAACTGTTTTTGTTTTCAACGTTATTTTCTTATGGGTTTATTTTTTCTACGTCGGCTTTAGTTTAGTACTTGTTTTTTATCCGTTTAAATTTGCCATTAATGTTCTTTTATTTTTTTAACCTTTTCTCTGTTTACGTAGCTGATTATGTGACCAAATCTTGTGCTGGTAATCCAGCTGATGATCCAGATGCAGAGGCTGGCAAAGGTGCTGATGCTGTCGGACCACATGCAATAGACTCAGGAGTTGACTTCAAGACCAAAGAAACTGGGCTAATCTCATCCGCAGGTAAGTGCCAAAGAAAGGTGGTCGACAACAAAGCCTTCCTCTGTAAATATTATTTGGAAGAATCGAAAGTAAAACCCTTTAGTACAATATAAAACAATATTGATAATTCAGTAATAATTACAGCAACACGTTTTAAACATTTTATGTGGCACCCATAAAGTGTGGATGTGTCACTGGCTTAGTAAGATCTGATTATTGCCACCCCCTCAGAGCATTACTAGTTTCTAACTTCATATCATCTTTAGTGAAGCAGTAAAATGTGTTTATTTTTGATTTCCAGAAATGGGAAGCTTCGTCACGCGTGACCACTTCCTGAAGTCTGTGTCCACAGAAAACTGTCCCTTCTGTTGTCTGAAAGTGGCGGCCACAGATAGACATCTGACTCAAAAACATTTTGTTGCTGCTGTTCATTTTGTTGAAGATGGCACTGGTAGGAGATTTTGTTTAATCTAAATCAAATCATTAGTTTAGAAACAAGAATGCAGGGTTAAGTTGTTTTATCAAGGTACTTGTGTAGGATTTAGTTCATAAATCTTAGTTTCCTGAGCAGGAAAACAAAAAGCACAACACAAACCATCCGAGACGCCGGATGGTTTGCCAGAACCTCTTTGGAGACAATCAATACTCCACCTCCACATCCTTTTGATGATTTTGCCTAAGCAACTGCCACTGCTGCACAGCGCTTGACCCTCCGGTACTTGTCAGCTGCTTCTGGAGACATACCACGACCTGTAGACCTCTTTCTTCAGCTCCCCTAACCTCTGGTATCCAGACTCATTCAGACACAATGCTCTTGGGACGTGGTCAAAGCTCTGCTGGAGGTGGGAGTTAAAGAATGTTTCGACAGGTTCTTCTGCCAGGTGTTTACAGAAGACCCTAACTATACGCTTGGACCTACCAGATCGACACACACTGTATCCTCCCCTGCCATCTGATCTTACTCAACATTGGGTGGTGATCAGTTGACAGCGCTGCTGCTTTCTTCACCCGAATGTTTGAAACATATGACTAAAGTTCAGACTGTACAATTACAAATTCAAATTTTGACCCATGACCTAGGCAGCCCTGGTAACCTTTTGCTCAAACATAGTGTTCATGGTGTTCTGCAGTAGCTCATGAGGTAGAACGGGTTGTCCAGCAATCGGAGGGTTGTAGGATCACTCCCGGCAGAGAATTCTGCCGTTGTGTCCTTTGGCAAGACACTTAACCAACCTAGCCTGCTGGTGGTGGTCGGAGGGACCGGTGGCGCCTGTGCTTGACAGTCTCGTCTCTGTCAGTGTACCGCAAGGCAGCTGTGGCAAGAATAACTATTAAAATATACTGGTAATGGTGGGCGTGACATATTTTATTCTTAAAAGGTTTCTAAAGATTGTTCTTAAAAAATATACATGTTTATGCTGTGCATCGGCCCTGGTAGCAACCCCTTCTGCTTGGTGCATTGGTTCAACTCAAGGTCTTGGCAGCCAAACAGCAGTGAGATGAACAAACCAAGGCTAGTCTGGCCTTAACCAAAGGTGCAAAATACTAGGGCTGCAGCTACTGAATACTTTTGTAATCGAGTACTCTATCGAATCTTTTATCGATTAATTGAGTACTCTAATAAATTACTCTTTTGTGTTTGTAAACCATTATATCAAATAGCATGTTATAAAATATGAAAGACCTCTTAAAATGAGCAAGCAATTGCCAGTTACTCTTCAAGTTTTATTCGAAATTAGTTTTCAAAACTTCAGCACTTCAACTTTACTTCACAGTAAACAAACACGAGCGGCTGCAGCCCAAACAGTACCAGAACCGCTCACGGTGCATGCGCAAACATGGCTCGTCAGCTATTTCCCTATTAACACACGTCCATTTTAATTTCTACAATTTTTTTAAACACACAATAACAAGGTTTGTCGAAAGCATGTTTGTCATGGTTATGTCAAATTATACTGATCACAAAACATTTATTTGCTTTCTTTCGTTTTCCTCCGCCACTCATAAGTACCTGCGTCATCCTGCAGCAATCCCGAGGGACAACAGACATCAGTAACACCCCAATAAAAAGTCCGACGTGTTGTAGGGCTGGGCGATATGGCCTCAAATCTATATTGCGATATAATCTAAAGCATGTGCTTTTATTATATATACCACAATATATTTTTTCCTTTGTTTATATATGTCAAAATGACATGCTTTAAAAAATCCTCATATGGAAAATATATTGCAGCAGAATAAAGACGTCCAAAAAGTGTAGAATGCTCCTCCTCCCACTACATGCTGGCAGTCTCTGCCATTCTGTTGTTCCAATGTCGGCGCGGGTGCACATCTTAGTGACATCATGTGTTATCGCGGTAGAGCCAAAAACTTATCATTACCCAATTTTGTATCGTTTCTACCTTATATCGTTTATATTGCACACCCCTAACGTGTTGTGTAAAAACTGCAATTTTTAGCACATTTTTAGGTCTGACGTGTTGCTACCAGACGTACGGTGTGAACTGAAACTGAGTGCTACAAACGAAAAATCGCACAGTGTCCGCAGAATATATAATACAGGCTGAAATGCATAATCTTGTAGAGGCTCCGAGTCCGCTTGCAGAAGAGACATTTACATGTGGATGTTTCCTGGTCAGGTTGCAGCATGGAGGATGTAGTGTTGTGCTAGGCTAAATCCATTTTACAGTTTTTACACTGGACTACGCTTTCTGCCTTATGAAGTGAAAAATGGTCCCACACCTTTGACATTTTCTGTCTTTTTCGCATTCCACCGGGGTCCACATTGTCCGGCATGGCTTAAGAGAAAGTTAAATTATATTCGCTACTCGCGTGTGCATTCAGTGCAGTGTGTATGTGCGTCACTTATTTCGGTCCGGGTGAAACATGACCCCGGGCGATTGCAAAGCCATGAATTAAACAAAGCCTCGAGGCAAAGAATTTGACTCGAGGCTTTTTTGTACTCGAACTATTCGAGGTACTCGAGGAATCGTTTCAGCCCTACAAAATACACACAAAGCCTACGTGTGAAAGAGCACATAGACAACCCGTTGGCTATGCGTTGTTTGTTCGTTAACAGTGTATACTTTTCATGGGATAGACACTCGTAATTTTGTACGTTTTTGGCCAAGCTCCCTCTGCTAGCTTTGCAGTTAGCATGCAAAAGGTTTAAATTTTTGTTTTTCACACACGCTGTGGTGTTGGTGTGTAGCAGTGGAATCAGTCCCCACTGGAACACTTTCCCACTGCAATTGTTCCGGACATTGTCTAGACCAGGGATAGTCAGCGCCCTTCCCTGTCAGACAGCATTTCTTAGTTGTTTCCCTGCTCAAACACACTTGATTCAGCTGTTCAGCAGCTCATCAGGCTCTGAAGAAGCTTGTTAATCACCTGCTAATTAAAAATCAGGTGTGTTGTTGAAACAAGGTAACAATTAAAGCATGCTGGATACTCTGGAAAGGGAGTTGACTACCCGTTAAGGTTACTTACTAATATGTGATGTATGAAAATTTTGTTTCATAACAGAAAGGCAGATTGAGACGGACTCACTTTACTCCCATGAAGAAAATGTGTTTGACATCCTACATCTCTGCTACACTACATGCAAAAATCTAAAATCACACAAGAAACTTACCAAATTTTCCAGAGTATAAGTCTCACCAGCTGTAAAATGTATAATGAAGAAGAAAAAAACATATATAAGTCGCACTGGACATTAACCCCCAAATTCCACTACCTCCGCTCCGACACGAACGCCGGAGCAAAATCGGTTCTGTTGTAGTTCATCAGAGCAATTCCACTACTGCGGCCGTGCTCCGGCAGTGCGGCGCCGTGCGCCGCTCTCTGTTCCGGCGTCCGGCAAAAATAGAATCGATCCTATTTTTGCCGGACGCCGGAACACCTCCGCAGTCAATGGACAGGAATCACAACCGCCCAACAGGAAAGGGAGCAAGCACAACTTCCGTTTTTCACAATAAATCGATAAACAAAAGGCGTTTTTTGTTTCATATGCACAGGTTTAACAACTTTTAACAACTATCAATGGCGGCTGAAGTTTAAATGCACAAAAGTAAGCCATAAATACAGTTTCTGCTATCAAAGTAGTCACACTTTGTTGATCCAAACACTGCTGATCTCTCAACACAAATGATGGGCAGATTAAACAGTTCATGCCGATGCTTCTCCCACACAACGGCTGTTTGGATCTAACTTCCGCGTTTATTGCTCGGACTGTATTGCAAGATCTTGAAAATCCCGCGCATGCGGGTTTGCCCACCTCAGGTCTCCGCACCGGAGCGGAGCCGTTGTAGAGCGGGTAGCAGTAAAAATTGAGTTCGGAAGCGAGCGGCTGCGGAAGGCGGGGGCGGACCGGAGCGGAGGTAGTGGAATTTGGGGGTAAGTCGCATTTTGGGGGGAAATTTTATTATTTTTTTTTACAAAATCTGAGACCAAGTATTTCACATTGCAAGACAAGTACCGGTAACAATAACAGAATAAACAACCAGCTGTTGCATCAACGGTATGCGCAGCAGCACGCCATGGTCTCCAGCAGAGAATGGCGGTGTCTCAAACCCTCCCAGCGGGCGTGGAGAGCTCATTCCTGGGCCGGAGCTGGCCGGCAGCAGCGCGGTATAGCCTACATAATTTGGTATATAAGTCGCAGGACCAGCCAGACTATGAAAAAAAGTGTGACTTATAGTCCGTGAAATACGCTAATTGTTCTGAAGTAGTGGCCGACTGATATCGTTTTTCTAGTGCTGATATGTAGGAAACACGGTCAGCTGATGGCCGATATGTACCGCCAATTTTACAGGCTGATTGTTTTCATGCTAAAATGTCACTAGTAACATCAGTTGATGAAGGTTTTGAACTCTGAAGTTAATTAACTGTTAAATCTTAACTTTGTGCACTGCTCAGTGTTAAAATCAGACAGCTAAATAAAGTTAATTTAGAATATTCACTATGCAGATGTTATTAGTGAATGTAAATATACATTTAAATAAAATTCTGCAACAGCATCAGGCTTCCTGAGGATGTGCCTGACTAAATCGGCTTTACTCGGAACAAATATATATATATATTTTTTTCTTTACTCAGAACAAATATATATATATATTTTTTTTCTTTACTCAGAACAAATATATATATATATTTTTTTCTTTACTCAGAACAAATATGGTCCGATGCAAATAAAACGGTAAATAACGGCCCGACGTATCGGTTTACCCCTATTCTGACATCAGTAAGCATGACTGGCAGAAAAATGCTGTAAAATGCTCCATCTCATTGGCCCCTGCTAATTAAACAATGTTGCTTCTAGTTGGTTGACTTTCTTTTGTTTTTTCAGTAAAATTTGTTGTACCGTGTATGTGCAAAGATGTCTCCCAACGCCGAAGTCACTGGCACTGCCCAATCTGTGTAAAGATCCTTAATCGCAGATGCAGCTTTGAAGTCCACCTAACGAAACAACATGGTATGTTTTGTTGCAAATGTGTGCTCTTATTTTTGCTTCATGTTAGTTTTTTATGCAAAGGAACAATAATCATCACTTATAAGGTTGTGTTTCATTTCTTGTGACAGAGTGCTCTGTACTGCATCGCGACCACGGTACAGGTCAGTATAATTTATGCAGGTTTTAAACAGGACGTGCTGTTGGCACAGACAGTGTTGCGTTTGCATGTGTGTGCAAAGTAATTTGTTAACCTCGAAAGTATTACTACGACTGACCGTGTGACCAATTATTGTGTTGTTAATCCAGCTGAAGATGCAGAGGCTGGTAAAGGTGCTGATGATGTTGGACCTCATGCAGTAGAATCAGAAACTGAAAGCAAAACCAGAGAAACTTTGTTAATCTCTTCCACAGTTAAGTACCAAATATAAGTGATGTACAATAAAGCCTTTTTTCAGTAAATGCTGTTTACACCTGTCAGTAAAATCAGATTATTGCTGTCACTCATGGCATTAGTAGTTTCTATTTATTCAATCAATAAAATATGTTTATTTTTCTATTTCCAGAAACGGGAAGCTTCGTCACGCGTGACCACTTTCTGAAGTCTGTGTCCACAAAGAACTGTCCCTTCTGCTTTCGGAAAGTGGCGGCCACAGAGAGACATCTGACTCAAAAGCATTACGCTGCTGCTGTTCGTTTTATTGAAGATGGCACTGGTAGGAGTTTTTATTTAATCTAAAGTAAAACATTAGTTTACAAACCAGAAGCGGGATTAAGATGTTTGAGAGTCTTCTGTTGTTTCTGTAGGCTTTAGTTCATTTCTCTAAGCAGAAAAACATAAAACATCGTTGTGTTTTCTGTCTAATTAAACTCCACCTTGATCATTTTCAGATGAATGAATGAACACATTCACTTTAACTAGTTTCTTCATTTGAGAGGGTCTCAATTTAATGCCATGAAGACAATGTCCCTGATATGTCTCTGCTACACTGCACTAGGGACGTGAATCTTCCTACAACTCACGATTCGGCTCAATTCCAGTTTTCGGGGTGACAAAACAATTCAGAATCGATTCTCAATCAATTCTCTTAGTGTCGGCGCGCGTGTGTGTGTGTGTGTGTGTGTGTGTGTGTGTGTGTGTGTGTGTGTGTGTGTGTGTGTGTGTGTGTGTGTGTGTGTGTGTGTGTGTGTGTGTGTGTGTGTGTGTGTGTGTGTGTGTGTGTGTGTGTGTGTGTGTGTGTGTGTGTGTGTGTGTGTGTGTGTGTGTGTGTGTGTGTGTGTGTGTGTGCGTGCGTGCGTGCGTGCGTGCGTGCGTGCGTGCGCGCAACACACAAACTAAACAGGATAACACCATTAAAGTTACAATGTGTAGTTCTTATCATTAATCTGTGGAAACATCCATCAAAATAATGTTAAATGATTGAAATGATTCCCAGTTGTTGAAAAATATTGGTGGCTTTGTAACATATAACCATAACAATCGGATCTAAACTACATGTGAGCGGGTCTAAGTCTCTGGGCGACGCCATATTAGATGCCATGTTTCCTTGTACGGTATCCCTTGAGGACAAAATGCATTTACTGATTTGTAAGAAACGGTTACAAATTTTTTACCATTCATAAACGTTGCTGTTTCACATTTTTACCCAGGGTTTTTCCTGGCTCAAATTGAGGCAGAGGTGGTACCATCCTGACCATGTGCCAGCACATGCATACTGTATTTTCCGGAGTATAAGTCGCACCAGCCATAAAAAGTAGAATGAAGAAGAAAACATATATAAGTCGCACTGGACTATAAGTCGCATTTTGTGGGAAAATTTTATTATTTTTCTTACAAAATCTGAGACCAAGCATTTCACATCGCAAGACAAGTACCGGTAACAATAACAGAAGAAACAACCAGGGCGCAGCAGCGCACCACGGTCTCCTGCAGAGGATGGCAGTGTTTCAAACCCTCCCAGCAGGCGGGGAGAGCTCGAGCCACCCGGCCTGCAGCAGCTCGCCATGGTCTCCAGCAGGTGATGGCGGGGCAGAGGAGCTTATTCCTGTGCCGGAGCCGGCCGGCAGCAGCGCGGTATAGCCTACATAATTTGGTATATAAGTCACTTTGTTATATAAGTCGCAGGACCAGCCAGACTATGAAAAAAAGTGTGACTTATAGTCCGGAAAATACGGCACTCTGTGCATTTAACTGCCTCACTTTTTTAAAGGCTAAATATGTTTTCGTTAAGTGTTCTAATCTAAGCATCTGTTGATTAATTTAATATTCCATTTGACAACGTTTCAAGTGAAACTAAACTGGTTTGCTGCAAAAAAATATGAATAAAACATCAAACTTATGAGGCTGAAATAACACTCTTATTATAAAAGGCTCAATTATATGCATTAGATTGGTGTTTAGTTCCCTTTTCCCCATCTGATATTATAGTTGGAATATTTTTAATATTTGACCTACGTTTCAGTAACATTTTAGGTTTGTGTTGATAACACTCATCTTAGTCAAAATAACATAAATATATCCAGTAAAATATAATGCATTTCATTAACATGCATTTGTGTTGGAGATGGTAATAACGTTTAATTTCTGCTACTAACAATGTAATGGTGGCATGTCTATTATGTACAGGTTGGCAATAATCCAGTTTAAATTATGTTCAAAGATAGAAGCGTTTTTGAATTATATACTACAACGGCTTGCTGTATATTGTAGCAGTAATGTGACTCGTATCTGCAGCGGTTCTGATCCATGGCGCTGCAGGATGCAGAATAAACAGGATGGTGGGGACTTTTCACTTGTAGAGTTTAGTCTTTCTTAGTTTAACGATCATCATATATTTTTCTGTGCGCCACTTGATTGTGAGACTGCTACCCATTAGCTTAGCATTAGCTAATCCGCGTGTAGCTGCACTTTTGATCCCAAACTTTGGACCGGTTCTGCCTTTGCTGGTTCCTTTATTTTTCTCCACTGCATCCAGATGACCACACTGTGCGCCAGTAAAAAGCATTTTTTTTACACGTAACTTACTTTTGTTCAATAAAGTTCTGGGGAAAATAGTAATTCAAAGATGTTGCACCAGTGCTACGTGTAAAAATAGACAGACATGCACAGACAGTTTATTTCGTTGCACTGTACATTCCTGCTCTGATATGGAAGAGCCTGGGGTTAAAATCAGGACATCAGTAGCACCAACCATAGCTATGTACCAACTAGCGAGAAAAGCAATTTTTGATCTTCTTTTTCTGCAGCGGTTTTAGCGCTTTTGGTGCACCGCTGCTGATACAGCACCCGTGTAGTGGAGCAACGCTGCAACTGCAGTTAAAATAACATCCATATACAGTGGGGCAAAAAAGTATTTATTCAGCCAACGATTGTGCAAGTTCTCCCACTTAAAATGATGACAGAGGTCAGTAATTTACATCATAGGTACACTTCAACTGTGAGGGACAGAATGTGAAAAAAATTCCATGCATTCACATGGCAGGATTTTTAAAGAATTTATTTGTAAATCAGGTGGAAAATAAGTATTTGGTCAATAACAAAAATTCAACTCAATACTTTAACATAACCTTTGTTGGCAATAACAGAGGTCAAACGATTACTATAGGTCCTTACCAGGTTTGCACACACAGTAGCTGGTATTTTGGCCCATTCCTCCATGCAGATTTTCTCGAGAGCAGTGATGTTTTGGGGCTGTCGCCGAGCAACACAGACTTTCAACTCCCTCCACAGATTTTCTATGGGGTTGAGGTCTGGAGACTGGCTAGGCCACTCCAGGACTTTCAAATGCTTCTTACGGAGCCACTCCTTTGTTGCCCGGGCGGTGTGTTTGGGATCATTGTCGTGTTGGAAGACCTATGGAAGACCCAGCCACGTTTCATCTTCAAAGCTCTCACTGATGGAAGGAGGTTTTGGCTCAGAATCTCACGATACATGGCCCCATTCATTCTTTCCTTAACACGGATCAGTCGTCCTGTCCCCTTAGCAGAAAAACAGCCCCAAAGCATGATGTTCCCACCCCCATGCTTCACAGTAGGTATGGTGTTCTTGGGATGCAACTCAGTATTCTTCTCCCTCCTAACACGACGAGTTGAGTTTATACCAAAAAGTTCTACTTTGGTTTCATCTGACCACATGACATTCTCCCAATCCTCTGCTGTATCATCCATGTGCTCTCTGGCAAACTTCAGACGGGCCTGGACATGCACTGGCTTCAGCAGCGGAACACGTCTGGCACTGCAGGATTTGATTCCCTGCCGTTGTAGTGTGTTACTGATGGTGACCTTTGTTACTGTGGTCCCAGCTCTCTGCAGGTCATTCACCAGGTCCCCCCGTGTGGTTCTGGGATTCTTGCTCACCGTTCTCATGATCATTTTGACCCCACGGGATGAGATCTTGCGTGGAGCCCCAGATCGAGAGAGATTATCAGTGGTCTTGTATGTCTTCCATTTTCTGATAATTGCTCCCACAGTTGATTTTTTCCACACCAAGCTGCTTGCCTATTGTAGATTCACTCTTTCCAGTCTGGTGCAGGTCTACAATTCTTTTCCTGGTGTCCTTCGAAAGCTCTTTGGTCTTGGCCATAGTAGAGTTTGGAGTCTGACTGTTTGAGGCTGTGGACAGGTGTCTTTTATACAGATAATGAGTTCAAACAGGTGCCATTAATACAGGTAACGAGTGGAGGACAGAAAAGCTTCTTAAAGAAGACGTTACAGGTCTGTGAGAGCCAGAGATTTTCCTTGTTTGAAGTGACCAAATATTTATTTTCCACCCTGATTTACAAATAAATTCTTTAAAAATCCTGCCATGTGAATTCATGGATTTTCTTTTCACATTCTGTCTCTCACAGTTGAAGTGTACCTATGATGTAAATTACTGACCTCTGTCATCATTTTAAGTGGGAGAACTTGCACAATCGGTGGCTGACTAAATAGTTTTTTGCCCCACTGTAGCTGGGGGCAGAGTGAAATCAGGCTGGGGCGGCACAAAATTAGTTGGAGGCGGACACCACGCAAATTTGAACACAGTAAAAACCCTGCATTTACCTCTTCACTCGTTGTCAGTGATGAAAGGGGGTTGGATGTGCTTGTTAGTTAGCTGGGGGTTGTGCTCCCAGAGATTTGGGCCCTAATTGCCATCCCTTAGTAAGGTCTTACTCAAACACAAAATTACTGCTTGTTGGCAATAATTTATGTATGTACTGCCCTCCATCGACAGGGAAAATACACACTGTCACTTTAAACATTATAAAACATCATGGAACTTCTTGACCTATGAAGCGCACGCAGGATAATAAGAAAGGTAAGTCGTATTTCAGCAGAATACAGAGCAGGAGCTCACAGAGCGAGCAGCTGCAGCTTGCACTGGCTCCATCAATGATGTGTTCAGGGACTCTTGGAAATGCGTAAAGGGACTGCAGACGCGAATTAGCTTCAAGCTAAATCTGGTACAATGCATCAAATTTCAATTGTTATGCTTAATATTGAATATGGTCCTTAAATAAACACACAAAAAAAGGCTTTTGGGCAGGATCCATGCCAAACATTATTTAATCGGTTCTGAATCTTGGTAAATGTCCTGTATTTGTACAGCCAACTAACCCCCCAAGGCGCTTCACAACACAATCAGTCATTCACCTATTCACACACACACACACACACACGTTGGCGTGGATGAGCTACGATGTTGCCACAACTCTCCTGGGGTACACTAATGGATGTGCCGAACACTGGCACCACTGGTCCCTCTGACCACCAGCAGGTGGGTTAAGTGTCTTGCCCAAGGACGCAACAGCAGCATTCTCTGGTCGGAGCCAGGATCGAACCTGCAACCTTCCGATTGCTGGACAGCCTGCTCTACCTCCTGAGCTGCTGCTGTCCCTATCTTTATGAATAATTTTTTTAAAACCACACAGAATAAACTGTGAATTTTCTGCGGTCAGTAAGAGTGACTGGCTGAAAATGCTGTAAAACTTTCTACCTCAGTGCTTTCATTAGCATCTATCCATTAAACATGTTTGCCTCAATTTGGTTTGCTTTCTTTTCCTTTTTCAGTAAAATTTGTGGTACCATGTATGTGCAGAGATGCCCCCCAACACCGAAGTCACTGGCATTGCCCAATCTGTGTAAAGACCATTAGTCGTAGGACCAGCTTCGAAGTCCACATAACTAGACAACATGGTATGTTCTACTTTCATTTCTTTAGTTGATAATGTGTGTTTTTATTTCTGCTTCATGTCAATTTTTCATGCAAAAAAAAAAATCGTCACTCACAAGATGTTCTTGTTTTACATGACAGTGTGTTCTGTACTGCAGCCCAGCTATGGTGCAGGTCGGTATAATTTATGCATGTTTTTAGACCTATATATATATATTGCCGCATTGATATTTTCTTACATCCCCAATGCATAGTTATTAGTCTTTAGTTTCAGGATAATGATTCACGAATCACTGACTGATTTTAGTGAAACTCTGAACTGACAACAAGATGTGAATGATTGTTAGTTTTGAAAAGCACCACTTATTTTCTTATTTAAAAAAGCGTCCCTGACTCTTAAATCTTTGTGTCAGTAGGAACTGTAACGTTAGAAAAAGCTGCTTCAGATTAAAGAACTGCTGATCCAGTGCAGTGTTCCAAAAACCTTGTGTCGTTTTTTATTTCTCTATTTTCTTTTCCAGAGAAACTTCTACGTCGTCATCAACAAAAAGAACAGCAAAGTCTGATTGCCAATCTTGCACAAGAATTGGACATATGCGTTGTGGACTCTTACATCCAGGACTTGGGGCAAATTGGCGCCAAGAGCAACAGTCAGCAGCACGCTTCAACTCAGGTTATGAAAACTCTTGATGATGGGTTTGCAGAACTACTGGATCCAGCTAATGAGAGTCAGCACACAACCAAGAATGAAAATGTTTGCCAGAGTGTGGAGTCGGAGACAACTCGGGACAGCTCAGAGGCAGTCGGTCCATTGAGGATAAAGTCTGTAAAAAGACCATCATTCCCTGGGAATCCAAGTGGGAAGAGGGCAACGCATCGCTGTAAAGCATGTGGGAAGATTTTCCATTACACGTACACGCTGAAGACACATGTCCAAACACACACAAGGGATAGATTCTCTGTTTGTGGCCTTTGTGGAAAACGTTTAGGGAACAAAGAACATTTGGTGCAGCACCTGAAGAACCACAACAAGAAGAACAAGTGTGAAACGTGTGGTAAACAGTTTTCAAGTGATTCCCATCTGAAACGCCATAAGAAATTCCATCAGCCAAAAACAATGAACACGTTTTCATGATCCTAACCCACAGCTGGGTAGTCAGGAATAACCCAGACCCCTGCTGTGGCTATATCGTCATAAATGGACAGTCTTAGTAGCTCATGAAATGAGATGGATATTGTAACTTTATGAGCCGTCATGCGTAAACAGCTGTAATTAGCTTTTTTGTTTATTGACATTTGTGTTTATGTAGATGAATTTAGAATACGTGTTTATCCAAACTGACCTGAAATTGAAAAATCATATTTTTGTTCATTATACCCATTAAAAAGAACATTTTAGATTTCTGCATTTATCAAATGTACAGACTTGTACTATTAAACAGTATGTATTTGTCAGGAAATGTAATTTCTTGCAGTCTGATTATTTAGGTCACCAAGCAGAACTAGGATAACTATGGAGTGATTTTAGGGTCTTTTTTACTCTTATGCTAGTTGGATCCATTCACCTATTGTGTTTTATGCTAAGCTAAAGCTAAAGGAGCAGAGCCGAGTTCAGAGAATGGCTGGGCTGGTTACAAATAGTTTCTTCCCACTTTTCTAACTCTGGGAAATATGTCAACAGACAACAATTCAATTATGGGTGGAATATTACTTTAAACTGATCTTGTAAAGGTTCGTAATAGGGCTTGTGATCGTGACGCCATCACCGACGCAGCCGCCCCATTGGAGGTGTGTGAGTCCTTGTTGCTTGTTACTACTGTAAACGGCGCACTCGGTCTCGTTCTCGTGGCTTAAATTTATTATTCGGTTGTTCGGTTATATTACTCAGTTATGATAAATCATTGCTGTGTTGTGGTGTGACATGTTATCACCAGGGGAATAAAGGTGGAAAACAAGCCAACTTTTCACCATTTTCCCGCTTGGAGGGAAATCCACGGAGACCAAGTATCTAGCTTAAACAAGTCTTGTTGGCTTTTGCTGGCTGTAAGGCGACCAAACATCACCTTCCGGAGTGTTTTCATTCTGGTAAGTTACAGATGGTGTGCATTTTTTTATACATCGTTTCTTTCCTTAAATTGCAACATGCACACGAAGCACACACACACACACACCAGTAAGCTAATGAGAGCGCACTGACACACAACACAACTTCTCTTGCAACACTTCTTCTGTGGGATGGCAATTTTGATTGTTTGACTAGAAAAACCAACAAATAAAACATTTACCTCTCATCCAGACATTTACATCCACTCACTCCACAAGCAAGAAAGCAGAAAATTTCCATTATGCAGAACTGCAGCGGTAACTATATGTAATCGGTGCTCTGGTATCGGTTTTGATCCATATGAAAGACCCATTTATAACGCTGATTTTGTCCACATACCGGTCCCCAACGTCTTTATATAACATATCCCTGTATATTCTGCATCCTTTTTGGGATTTTATAATGTTGTTTAACACTTTCTTTCACCCAAAATCTGTTTATTCTCTGCGACAGTATCGTTTGATTCACGGTTTGTTTAAACTCGTCAAGCTTCCAACATGTCCACACACATCCCAGAATGCTTTG